AAACAAAAGTGCTGGTTTTTAGAAATGGTGGTATTTTAAGAAACAATGGAAATTGGACATATAACGGATGTCCTTTGGAAATCGTAAATGAATTTAATTATCTAGGTATGTTGTTAAATTACAACGGCACTTTCAGAAAAACACAGCAAAAAATAGCAGATCAAGGAAGGAAAGCTTTATTTTCAGTTATGAATGTATGTCGTAATAATTATTTTAATATTGAAACCCAACTATCAGTATTTGATACATATGTAAACAGTATTTTGTGTTACGGTTCAGAAATATGGGGTTTTCATAAAGCCCCGGATGTTGAAAAAATACATATTATGTTTTGTAAAAAATTACTCGGTGTGCGTAAAAATACTTGTAATGCTATGGTCTATTTAGAGCTTGGTAGATATCCATTATCACTGCTGAGGAAATTCAGAATTTTTAAGTATTGGATAAAGATTATAAATACCGATAATTGCATTTTAAAATCATGTTATGAAGACATGTTAGTGCGTAACGACAAATGGGTAATTAATATCAAGAATGAATTATATAGAATAGGTCTAGGTTACATATGGCAAACAGATAACATTGATAATAGCTGTTTGATTATAATTAAAGAAAGACTTTTAGATATTTATAGACAAGATTGTATAGAACAAATTAGAACATCATCAAAAGGATTTTTTTATACATGTCTTAACAAAGAAGTTGGTATACAGGGTTATTTAAGAAAATCGTTTATGAAAGGTTACTTAAAAGAAATAACAAAAATTCGGCTTTCAGCCCATAATTTAAATGTAGAGAAAGGTCGTTATCAAAATATTCCGCGACTTTTAAGAATCTGTACCGCTTGTGATATAGATGATGTCGAAGATGAATTTCATTTTATTCTTAAATGCCCCTGTTATTCTGATTTACGTGAGAAATTTTTAAAAAAGTACTATTGTAAAAAACCGAGCATGTTTAAATTAATTCAGTTATTTAACGGACAAAACACAAATGAATTAGCAAAATTGGCCAAATACATTAAAGCTGCAAATTCAAGAAGAGCTTTATTAACATAAGTAGTTATGCTCTCCGAGTGTTTTGTCTCGTCTGTGTATTTATTAGTATTTTCGATATTTGTCAATGTTATGAGAAAGTATATATATATATATATCATGTATATGTGTTACACTGATGAGTCGCAAGACTCAAAGTTAATAAAGAACTTGAACTTGAACTTGATCCTGCAAATTGGTCATCTGCTATTATTATTCCTGTTCATAAAAAAAGGTACACGTAATGACCCTAATAACTTTCGAGACATCAGTTTAATAAGCTGTCTTAGTAAACTTTTTACTTCTATACTTAATAAACGCATTTTAGATGTTTGTACAAAATATGATATTTTAACAGATGCTCAATTCGGATATCGTCCGGAAGTGAGTACGATAGATGCTATATTTGCATTACATACTATTATAACAAAAACATTGTCATCGAGGAAATGAAGACAAAGAGTACACATACAAAAGCATGAGGTTCCTATTCTGAAAATCCTTTAATCACAATTTTTACACCCAAACGATGAGATTATATGTATATTGTTTTGCGTTCTGAGTGTTAGTAAATTAGCCACTTGTATAATTTTATCATCCATTATGATGCTACATCATGAAAATTCAAGATCATGATTGTATTCTTCAAATCTCCAAATTGTAAATTTCAGGATGTTTTTCAAAAATCATATTGATGAAAGAAGTTAACCAACCAGCTGATTATGACGTTTGTTTAATTTATACCTGCTACACTACATGGATTGTCTGGGAGTTGAAAAACAGGGGCAACTGTGAAACCCAAGTTTATGGCTAAGCCTATAGACAGTCTTCAACCTGTCCAGTGGTTTCACATTCCTCAGCTTAAGTTAAGAATTTTGCATTACTTAAGTAATTATTTCCTTCCCTAAGTCTGATCCAATAATCACATACATATCAAAACAAAGCACCTTGTAATCTGATTCTATTTTTTAGAAATTCGAAATTTCTCGTCAAGGAAATTTTAAACGTTCATTAAAGCAGACCTCATATGAAGTTTTATTTTCATTGCAAAATCTCATTAATGCTTTTTATTAATGTATTTGCCATTTTCAAATATATTTGTCTCGGAAGTATGGCTGAATAGCTTTCCCCAGGCCATGAAAGTAATAATTTAGATCCCACACCGATATATATATAAGAAATTAATGAGAAACACAACGACGGCTTGCCATAAATGGCAACAAATTCTTCAGAAATTTATGTCATACTGCCCGAAGGAAATAGGAACAATTCTTGGAGAAGTGAATATCTTTCCACAGATGCCCAATTATAAACAAACGACTACCGTCTCCATATGTGCAGTGATGCATGAACCGTGCTGATAATGGGTCCACTGTTTCCGCTTAAACTTGATCTAATCTGTCAAAGAACCTGTTAATAATTAACCGCTTGTTATCTCATCGTTTCATCAGACTATAAAACTGTTTTGCTGTGGCTCCATGGACTGTCACTCGACACTCCAAAACCCTTTACGCCCCTGACACTTTCACTGTCAGCATGTGTAAGCTATTGTTGGGTTGTTAAAATGTATATTAGAATTTCCCCTTAAATATCAATAAATGCATAACACAGCGAAATAAATATACTTATCTCAAAAACATCTCGATTTAATTAAGATAATAAAACAATGGATTGAGATCAGGAAGCAGAACATACGGAAACCAATATACAACATTGTCATAATACTACATCGTTATAGGCAGTGGCACCGCGGCTAGGTGTTTTAATCTCTCACTTATCTGTATTTGAAAGGTATAAATTAACACTTCTTAATTTGTTTTTATTCAACAAATAACTAAGATACTAATTAGTGTGTTCTTAAAATATAATTTATAAGATTAATATAAATAATATAAGTTTACAAAATAAAATATAGATATGTACATGTATTACATTTATAATACACATACAGAGTGTACTTGAGTTCCCACAGGTAAGTCCCACAGGTAAGTTTTATTGGTAGCTATAGATGGGGTCTTCCCCGAACACCAACTCTGCTTAAAATCACATGTTTACATAGGTGGCCAGTTGTGATGATAGTGAGTTATAGTCTATTGCAGAAATGGTGTACAGGTAAATTGCACAGGTAAATCAACTTCTAATCAGATAATCAATAACTGCTAATAATTGCAAAATAATAATTAATATTTAGAACAGTTTTCAGAATCAGTCATATATATTTATTATGATATATAATAGTTAAACTTGTATTTTCAGATTTGTGTGAAATCTCTTATAATATTGTCATATATTAGTTAAACTTGTACTTATTTTCAGATTTTTATGAATTGTGTTTAACTTGTGTGACCTCAGTTTGATATTATTATCTGTTATATTTTAATACAAATACTTCCTAGGCTATCATACAGAATGGTTTTTTAACCCAACTTTGTAGACATAAAAAGGGGTTTGTAGACAAGGGGATCCGGTATCATCTTACTTATTTCTTTTGGTAGTTGAAATATTAGCTATCATGGTAAAAAAAAACCAATAAAAACTTTAGAGCATAAACATAAATACCAAAGAACACGGGCTCTCACAGTTCGCTGATGACACATCCGTTATTTTAAATGGCACACAATCTTTATATGATATAAATATGCTAAAATATCGAGGTTAAAAGTAAATACTGAAAAAACTAAAATGGGGAACAACCAAATTTACCTTATCATCGCAAAAATGAATCACCTGTTTATATCTCTCCCTACTCCAATTAGAGACATAATTCAATCATTGAAGAAAAAAAAATGTCTGGCAATCACCAGTTGATAGAATAAAACGCTCAACAATTGTTCAAGACTATAGTGAGGGTGGACTCAAAATGATTGATTTAGAAAACTTTATATATGGACTTAAAAACTAGCATTCAATGGGTCACTTTCAGGCTTCTTTCAAGAATACTTCCACTTAATCATTATTTGAAAATAATTGGAATCAAACAATGTGATTTATGTAATGTATGCCAAGAAAGCAAACAAACTATAGAACATCTTTTGTAACGGTGTCAAATAACAAATAACTTCTGTCAAGACATACGTAGATGGATATACTTAAAAACTGGTCAAACATTCGAAATAAAGGCAGATATTATATTTTTTGGCAAAATTTCTGAATTCCAAAAATCCATTCCAACTAATCATCATGATTCATGCAAAATTCTTCATCTACTTTAGCTCCAGAAAGGTTTACTGTTTATATTTATGTTTAATAATACCTATCTTTTAGTGCTGTATTAAATGTGTATTACTGTTATATGTAGGAATAGAAACTGTATTTTATCGCTGACATTAGTATCAATGTGGTTTAAATTAAGGAATTTTGTTTTTCATATAGTGTAATGTTATTTTTCTTTTTCATATAATGTAAAAATTAATATTCAATGATTATTTTCTACTACTTAGTTCTGTGTTAAATGTGTATTACAGTTATATGTAGGAAATAAAACCTTTTTATCCATTTTATTATTGACTTTAGTATCATATCTACATGAGTTGACATTCTTAGTTGAAACAGGCTATAACTAAACTTCAAAGGATTAAACACTTTCCTTTCAATTCTCCAGAGTTGGTGTTCGGGGAATGAGCCCTCTGTAGCCCTCTGTAGGAAAACCTATTTTGATCGGAATTATTGTCTTAAATTTATCTGAGATCCAACAGGTGAATCTATAGGGCTCATTCCCCGAACACCAACTCTGGATTCACCTGTTGGATCTCAGATAAATTTAAGACAATAATTCCGATCAAAACAGGTTTTCCTACAGAGATACACCCCTAATGGTGCGTGTTAGTATAGCAATACCCCGACGGCTATCAATGCGCGTACGATAAGGGTACTATGACAGGTGTATGGAACTAATGATATATGATGGCTGTAGGCAATGTTATGAGCCTTGTATTCGGACAGCTATGATACGGTCAGTGTATATATGTTGAATTGGGCTGGTGAGGTTACGCTACCCTGTGGTACTCCGTTTTCCAGTATGAGGTATTATTAATTCTTACTTGGATTTTCCAACTTTCACGACATGTGTTATGGACGTCCGGATATTGCCTGTTATTCTCATTTTTTTATAGTGATTTTAAGAGCACCTCATGTAAGGTCAAAGGCTTTTTCTAAATCTAAAAAACCGGTTAAAGCGTACATGTACGGGATTTTTACGAAGCGTGTTTTTAATTTCGTTGTTATTCTAATTAAAGAATCTTGAGCGGATCTATGATTTCTGAAACCGCTTTGATTTTCATTAATTAGGTTATTTTGATTACATGATATTTGAGTCTATTATTTATCATGTTTTCGAGGGTTTTACATAGATGATCATGAGCTGCTATGGAAATTGGTCTACGATGCCGGATTTTCTTTATCTTTTCCGGGTTTTAGTATTGGAATGACTACGGCTTTATTGCAAGTTTTCGGGTATATCCCTGATTACCAAATCGTATTCATTAGATCCGAAATATTGTGATTATTTTTATTCGGACATTTTTTCAGTATTGTGTATGCTAGAATGTTTAATCCTGTTGATGTATTTTTGTTTTGTTTTTAGCACCTTTGTGTATTTATACTTCGTTTTCCCCTTTGTCATTGACATATTCTTTCATTTCGTTTTAAGTCTTTATTCTATTTCTAAAAATTCCCATGTACAGTTTTGATTACTGCTGTTGGAATTGTTTTGCCAGTTTATCCGCTTTTCTAAATTTGTTTGAGGACTCTCACAACTAAATCATTTACTACATGTTATTACTAAGTTTTGTCTAGATTCATAAAAACATATCTGACAAAGGATTCAAAAGGCGTTTTTCGTGAGTTTAATGGCATGTAAGAGCGCTACAGGCGTCTGCTTTGACAACCGGAAGTTTACAAGTCAAACCGGTAAAGTGGGACGGGAACTCCCCGTGGCCCTGACTTTTGACCCCATATCAATCAGCCATCATAAATTAAAATCTACTAAAACTATACGATTTTCTAAAGTTTAATATCTGTAGGTTTTATTCAATGTAAAATATGACTTCAATTACCCAGTTGAATTAATCAGAAGCTGTGTATTTGACCGGAGACATTTTAGGTAGGGATTACTTAGGGATTGAGCGTCTGTCAGATTGTATGAATGCTATGTATAGATGATTATTTATCTGTCACCCAGATTGCATTCATATTGGCTTTAACTGCAATCTGACAGTCGTTCAATCGTTATATTTACATTTCCTCATATGATTTGTCTTTTTTTAATTAGTCGGATGAGCTTAATCTATATTTCCTGCTGCCGCAAAACCTCACTTGTACAATTCCTGGAACAGCCGCAGACGGCCATTATCGGACCGAAAACTTTCCCAACAACGGTCGCCATTAAAAAACGTAACCAGGCGACAACTGTTACATGCAGTTACATGCTCTAATTATATGTGTAGAACATTCTAATACAAAAGTAAGAACCTACCTTCCTATTCTGGATGTCTTCATTGTCTGCAAAACCCGTCAAAATGCGACTTGTATGAACCAAACAACAATAAGATGGCGGCTATCGTATCGGAGGGAGGGGTTGCTAACGGAAACCATGGCCATGATACAAGATAATGCTGACTCCAGTACTGTCCTGTAACTGCAGGCTGACTTTCCATAGAGTTAATGAAAAATGGGAAGGGTATTTGAAACACTTGCTGATTGGCTGATTTAGTTGCGCGAGTCCTTTACCTTCCGCGTTTCCCACTAGAATTGGTATGTCTTTAAGTGGTATCCCTTGTATGGCTTTGATTTTATTCCATACGGTTTTATAATTCGTTTAATTGTTTGGCGAGATACAAAAATCAATCCAATGGTGTTTTTTTGGTATTTTTTACATGTTCTGTTGAACTTATTTGCAGCTATTTTATGACTTTAGAAGTTTATTTCTGTAGACCCCCTACAGAGTTAAACTTCTTGCAAACTTTTCCCTGTTCAAGTGTTTTGTTGTGTTGTACAACAGTCCTCATTCCACCAGGGTTTAAATAGGTTTTCATTCTCCTGGTGTACCGGAAGTGTTTGGTATGGTTTATGACGCTGCTTTATTATTTGTTTTGTCAGGATTTTAGTGTATGTGTCAATGTCATTGCCGGTAACTTCGTTTAATTATTATTTTTATAAATGGTCTCGATTTTTGGCCAATCGGCGTTTTCAAATATCCATTTTGGTGGGAATTGGATTGATTTTCTAATTGGTTTGAAATTAAATTTTGCCAATATGGGATTGCGTGCTGTTACTCGCTGACCAAGTAAGCTATTTCATGTGATGTGATGGTAAGATCTAAATGTGATGTGGCACCGGTTCTCACTGTTATAACCAGCCTCCACGTCATAAATGCCAAAGAGATGGGTTTGATAAGGTACTGAGGCACAACGCTTACGTTAATTAGCTGAACGATAAATAAATTAAAAATCTAAGACTATTGCAAAACCATTAAAATCACCACATGTTACCTTAGTTGATGCATATAATTAATTTTGCACACGACCCATAACATGTCTTAAATGGTTTCTTTACACAAATCTGATATCATTTCCCATCCCATTCGTTCATCGTTCATATAAAAAGAATTTGATCTACACTTTTTAAACCTTTCATTTCTAGTTTGATTTTACAGTGTTGTTTGGCTCAAATGACTCGCTTTGTCGATGAAAATTGAAACAATACAAAAACAAAACAAAACGTTACACAGAAAATACCAACATATTATTCAATATATTTTTTGTCATTTTCAGCGAGAACTGATTGTCGCCATGGCTTGATGATAACTTTCTCTAACTAAAACTATGGAGGTTTCGCTGCTGGGATAGCCGTTATACACATTTGAAGATCATACCGGCAACGCCGAGACGAGGGTCATTTAACACTCTTTGTTCAGTAGGACTGCAATAGATTGACCCTCTTGGTTGAAAGTGTCGTCATGACTCAAGGCCTCTCAGTCAAGGTGCTAATTGGCCTTGTCATCACCGTGCTCGTCTTAGTCGTGTAAGTATTGTGAATTATCTCCCTTTAATAGGTGTATTATTAGGTGTATCAAGCAACCAAAAGGAGTTTCTGGCTAACAGTGACTTCCTCTGTCAAATGGGTCATTTATCCATCATTTGGATGATGTGCTTGTAATGTTTCCTGCATGACAGCAATTATAAAGTGTAGACTTGCAATGTTACGCAGTGCTACCCCTACAGTGTTTTTTTTAGCTCACCTGGTCCGAAGGACCATGGTGAGCTTATGCCATATCGCAGCGTCCGTCGTCCGTCCGTCAACTTTTCCTTTAAAACGCTACTAATCCTGAACGGCCAAGTAGATTTTGACTAAATTTGGTCTGGAGCCTCCTTAGACGGTGGGTGTGACCCCCTGGGGGCAGTGGGGCGGGACCTAATAGGGGAAATAGAGGTAAAACCTTTAAAATCCTTCTTCTACTGTAGGAATTAAGGGATTTTATCCTAATTTAGTCTGGAGCATCATTGGGCCAAGGGGACTCACTTTTGTATAAATGGTGGCTCTGGCCCCCCTGGGACTGAGGGGTGGGGCCCAATAGGGGAAATATAGCAAATTCTTTAAAATCCCCCTTCTTCTGTAGGAATGAAAGGATTTGGTCCATATTTGGTCTGAAGCATACTTGGGTGAAGAGGAACCAATTTTGTATAAACGGTGGGTCTGGCCCCCCTTGGGACTGAAGGGCGGGGCCCAATAGGGGAAATATAACAAGATCTTTAAAATCCTTCTTCTTCTTTAGGAATGAAAGGATTTGTTCCATATTTGGTCTGAAGCATACTTGGGTGAAGAGGAACCAATTTTGTATAAACGGTGGGTCTGGCCCCCCTTGGGACTGAAGGGCGGGGCCCAATAGGGGAAATATAACAAGATCTTTAAAATCCTTCTTCTTCTTTAGGAATGAAAGGATTTGTTCCATATTTGGTCTGAAGCATACTTGGGTGAAGAGGAACCAATTTTGTATAAACGGTGGGTCTGGCCAGCCAGGGACCTGAGGGGCGGGGCCCAATAGGGGAAATAGAAGTAAAACCTTTATAATCTTTCTTCTACCATAGGGATTAGGGGATTTTATCCTAATTTAGTCTGGAGCATCCTTGAGCCAATGGACTCAGGTTTGTATAAGCAGTGGGTGTGGTCTCCCAGGGGGCAGAAGGGCGGGCCCAATAGGAGAAATAGAGGTAAAACCTTTCAAATCCTTCTTCGACCATCGGGATTAAGGGATTCTATCCTTATTTAGTCTGGAGCATCCTTGGGCCAAGGGGTCTCAATTTTGGATAAACGGTGGGTATGACCCACCCTAGGGGCATAGGGGTGGGGCTCTGTTTGAAGTTTGTTCTCGCTATATCTCCAGAAGTACTGGATGGATCTTTCTGAAATTTCATATGTACTTACAGCACCTACCTTGGAGTGCTATATCTTTACTTCATACCAATTATTTCAAACATATTCAGGTGAGCGATACAGGCCCTCTGGGCATCTTGTTTTTTGTGGGAGGGTAGTGTATTTCTATTTTTTATTTCGAACTATAAATCTTTCAAATGCATGGCAACATGAGATTTTTTAAAAATATTTCTTTTGAAAAATTCTGAAAAGAAAATTTCACATTAGTAACAGTGATTACGATATCGTTTAATCTGTTGGAACTTTTTACCTTAAAGAACAATATTCCGAGTAAGAAATCAGCTCGCAGTGCAACTCTTCATTGCGATTATAAATGATGCCATGGTGCTTCTCTATGTTTCTCGGAAGTTGTATGTAGTATTTGTGCGAATTTGTATGTTCAATATATATTTTCTTTTGGTCCCGGAAGTGACAATTAATAAAATCGCTACCTTAATTTCTTCTTCCGTCCAGGATACAGAGTCTGACTACCAGCAATGTGCACTTCATCTCTTACTTCAATCAGTTGGCAACGAATATCAGCTTCAGGTAAGGTCAAGGTCACCAGCAAGCGAGGTCAAATATTGATAAAAACTTAAACAGGGACCTCCTTTAACTGTCGTTTATTTTTCAAACGCCCGTCCAATGAGGGGGGGGGGGGGGGGGGGGGTCGATATCTTGAGTAATTTTCAACAGATTCAGTTCAAACTTCATAGGAAGGTTCATTGCCATTATAGTTCGGACAAGTTCGATAACCGTACTTATTGGCCTGTAATTTACGGAGTTATTGCCCTTATTCAATTACCAAAACAGTGTCCGCTCGATATCTCGAGTAGTTTTTAACGTACTAACTTCAAACTTTTAAAATAGGAAGGTTTATAATCATGATAGCTCAGACAAGATAACCACCATTGTCCAACCGTATATTATGAAGTATTATGGCCCTTTATGTACAACCGTACAGACAACTACTCATTCAATGTATGATGAGCATATTGTGTTGCGGTTACGGGGTACCCTTGTTTAATTTTTTTTTTTTGTTCAATACCATAAATGATAAATTAAATAACGAGTTGTTTTTGTCATATGTACTTATGCGCTGTTTAGCATGAACCGCTTCGCGGATTACGCCATACTCCAATTGTATATACGCGCATCCCTTATGATTTAGCCATACCCTGACTTAAAGGAAAGCTTTTGATTGGCTTGTAAAACATTGTTTTACATGTTGATTGAAGTTGTTTATTTTTTCTTTGACAGGCATAGTGACTCATCGCTCTCAATTATCATTAAGACAGCATTACAAACCCCAATGGCGGCTATTTCCAGAAACATCCTGGATCGTTATTCCGAATATCGTCAGATACAGCGGGTTGCTGATTTTAAAGAACTTTATGATCCTCGGTTTTGTGTGGTAGAGCTAGATGTTGACAGGAATACAAAGACTATCACAGCAGGTACAGAACTCAGAGTGAGAATACACCTCTATAATGGTAACAACAAGTCCCTGACACAAGGAGGCGACTTGCTCAACATTTGGCTGAAAAATGCGGACGGAAGTTCGTCTGTGGCTGGTTACGTGGTTGACAATATGAATGGAACCTACACAGGTCACGTGATGGCGTTTTGGGCGGGAAATGTATCGGTGAAAGTGTCTGTCACCAACACGAAGGAGGGTATCGGTTTATTTACAAATTACGTGAACGTATATGGTTCTTATAAATTCATAAACGCAACATTTGTTGAGAACGCGAAAAGCGAGATGACTCAATGTGCATCAAAAACATCTGGTTGGCTGAACAAAACATATGGAGGATTCTGTAATTTAACACATGAAAATTACAACATCTCTTTATTTTGTGGGAAGCCTAAATCTGTTCCGTGTGAAAAATGGGTAAAGTATGGCTGGGACGATTCTTTGTACTACGATAACTTCACAAGGAAAATACTCAGGTAAATTGATAAAAACTGATGTGATACATTGCATGCGTCAGATCTAGAAATAGTCAATATGCAAATTATTTTGGTAGATCGAATTTAAGCTTTATGTTTCGAATATTGATCAAATGGATTGAAGATAGTTTAGAAATGACATTGAAGAATTCGTATAAGATGTGGTACTAGTTGGAGCACACATATTTATCATATACATATAGGTCGATATACATTTGTAAACGCCCGTTAAATTTGACGGGAGTATTATGTTATGGCGTTGTCCGTCCGTCCGTCGGTCCGTCCGGCGTAAACTTTTGTTTGTCCGGCAATCTCCTCCTACATTTTTCAACGAATATCTTTGAAACTTGGTTTACATTATAATCATGATATGAAGTTGTGTATCCATTAAAAGAATTTTGATTTGACAATTTTTGCAAAAGTTATTGCCCTTTGTTTATTTCAGTATTTGATATTGTCCGGCAAACTCCTCCTTCATTTTTCAAAAGATCTCTTTGAAACTTGGTATACATAATAATCATGATATGAAATTGTGTCCCCCTTAAAAGAATTTTGATTCGACAATTTCCCCAAAAAATTAATGCCCTTTGTTCATTTCAGTATTTGTTTTTTTATGCAGAGATTTTCTCCTACATTTTTATAGCATGTCAGCTTACCACTTTTTGAATGATGCAGATCTTATTTCAATGTAAGAAAGTATATAATACTATATGGCATTTGACGGGCGTATATTGTTCGGCCCCGCGGTACTCTTGTTATATTCTATATTGTTTTACATCAATACAAATACTTTACCTATTGCAATCCTTTGACAGTGCACGTGGACTTTAACGATCACGCGTTTTATGTGAGGTTGTTTTCTGTTTAGATATAAGGATGTGATGCTGAAGCAGACCCACGTGACTATTGTTCCAAGTAAGTGTTTTATTACCTATCACTTTATTAGAGACATTGTAAACTATTATTTTGTTTTCATAATCAGGACAGGCATTTTGTAATTTGTATTTATTTTCGGATAAGCTGTCAGATTAACATCGGTAGACTAGACAGCCTCAAGTTCACTGGTAACTGCATACGTGTGTCCAGAATACGGTTGGCAGTCTGCTTGCTCTAAAAGTATAATGATGTAAAAGTACACGAAACAGATTGATCGCATTTTGTTTCAACTTCGTCATTATCTTTTTTAAACACTAGATTCCACAGTAAGTCAGTACATATCAAAATATATCAATAGCAAACGAATTATTTATAAAATATATCAAATCTTATTATAGATATTAATTGAATGTAAATAATCAAAGATTGATTGCACAGAAAATGTATCAAATAAACGTTTCATAAAGGGTACATTATAAAATCTGCCACATATTTGTTTTAAATCAGCGCATTCAATCATAAAGTGTTTGACTGTAAATGGTTAATCACATGCATGACAGCAAGGTTGGTCTTCCTCATGTAAAGTGTAACTATGTGTGATGTAGGTATGGCCTACATTGTACCACAGAAACACTTTACTACATACCGTATTCGACGTAATTGACTTGACACCCTTTCTCTTTTTCTAGAGGAATTAAATTTATATGTACCCCCTTCTCAACGATTAACAGTACTTGCACTCTTAAATCAGAGCTCTATGTCCAGTGACCGTGGCTGAACTTCCGTGAAGTGGATTGTTTAGCCACGATCACGATTTCCAAACCGTCAGCCACACTGTAATGTTTATAATGTCCTCCTGTTATAATGTAGCAACAGTTACAACTGCACAAGTTGTACTATGAAAACCCACATTTAATCATCCTAATAAGCGCACGATTTAAGCTATTTTAAAGCGCCCTAGGCATTTATTACGGCGAAAATACGTTTTTGGGAAGAGTGTCCAGAAGTCATTATTTCAGAACTATCACGTGGAGATACTGGGATTGGTTATAGCACTCGAGGGTAATATTGCCGCACAAATGCATACTGCTTCAACACTGAAACAACATGCATTTTTACCTACCGAAATCTCAATAATTCCGAAAATGTTTTCCTCGTGTTTGTAATTTGATATCGAAAGGTTTTAAGACTTGGCTTTTCTACGACATTTGAAAAGAATAGGCAAAAGTCCGTGTCTGAGTTGCCCTTTACAAGCACTTCAATTCAATCAGTGGTAGATATAAAAAGATGAAATAGCAAAGGAGTAAAGTTGTAAGCGCAAATAAAATCACGTAGCCGAGATAAAGATGCAAATTTTTTAGAAATTCAAGATTTCCCTATAGTATGAGGGTCGCCACTTGACAGCTCTTGACTCGACAAAATTCTCGATGCAATAAATTCGTTTTATTATACAGTTACAGTATAGGCATTTTGGCAGTAGTCATGGCATTGTTCCTAAAGGACAAACTTAACAAAGGATTGCAATATCCCATGGAACTCGAACACCAGACGCAACAAATCTTAGTCATAACGCTTAGCGTTAATGCTGTCTTCAGTATTGATATGTTGTTTCTTCATTACAAGTTTGGGCAATATATTGTTTTACATTTGATCTAGTTTTAATTACTTCACTGATGAGACACATCTACTTGTTTTAGGCTCCAAAGGAGATCTGGACTATCCGGTGCCTTCTACTCACTGCAATGTATTGCCTCGCGCCTTAACATGGAACAGTACTGTACCGTCAGGCTTTCTCTACAGGGGAGTGTATCACAACCTTATCTGCCAGCCCACAGTTGACCTAAGTAAGGAGAAGTATCTGGCGTGTCTCAAAGATAGACCTGTCATTTCGATTGGTGATTCAACAACGAGGCAGTGGTTCATCCGTCTTGCGACTTTCTTAAATATCAAGGATTCGGCACATATTTCAGGTCATGCATGGCAAAAGTTCGCCCGTGCGTATAACACCAAATTGGGATTGGACACTGAATGGCAGCCGCACGAGCTTCCCTTCCACGGGACACCAGGGTCAGATCGGAAAAACGTTAAATCTGTAGCCCATAGACTGGACAAAATCCCGGGGAACAGCTCTGCCATTGTAATCATCCACTGGTATGGGCACATCGCTAGGTGCTGTGATCACGTAGATTTACGGGACCACGTGCGACATGCAAAGGCTGCCGTTGTGAGGCTTCTGACGAGGTCCCCTGATGTTCAAGTTTTCATTAAAGGTCCTCACCTCATAACTTATTTCAATGCAAACAAGCCATATGCCTACATTGGAATGTTCGTGGAACAGGTTTTACTGGAAGAGTTCAATGATTTACTACACAAAGTAGTTTACCTTGACCAGTGGGACATGTCAGTGGCAAACGAAAACGTCAATATTCATCCAATTCCACTGTTGGACGATATATCACTGAACAATCTTATCAATTTTGCATGTAAAGCAAGTTAAAGCTTGTTGTCAATATAGGCTTTCATGGTTAAGTGTGTAATTGAATATAGAAACCCCGATAGAACCTTACTCATCAATTTTCTATTATAAAATACAACTATCTTTTTATCAAAATAATACGAATATAATACTCATTTTGTGAAATAAGCATTTGTGCTTAGAAGTTTGTCCTTCTATAGAGTAACAAGCAATAAGTTCATCAATTTTCTTGATGTATGCAGATGATATGGTGCTATTGGCCGACACTGCTGAGGGTTTCAGAAATATTTGATACGTTAATAAGACTAAGTGCCTTGTAGTAATCACGATGACCGTCTGTCTGTCCGTCAACACTTTAAATTCTCGCGATAATCTCGGAATCCAGAAGAGTAATCTTTGTGGAATTTGACATGGTGATACAGAGTGAAAAGTAGATGTGCAATACTATTTGGCAACTTTTTGCTGTTTTGTTAACGTTCCACTCCCTATACGATCATCGACAACAGTTCACTTAAAGCAAAGAACATTTTAATTCTCCATATTTTCGAAATATTTCAATTTAAACGTGTCGTTTTTAGTCAAACATCAAAAGCTGCATTACCAATGCTACCAACTCATCACTGTTTTTATGTAAGGATTTTGTGTTGATTTAGTTGTTTGTTTTGTAGATTTTCCTACGAATGCACATGGAATATGTACATTTACATGTATGAACCATACTTTCAAAATCTCATAACTTTTGCAAGCATGTCGCAAAATCATATGGAGTAGACAAACTCTCGTTCAACTAGCATTTGTTTTATCATCCAAGGTTTACCTAAATGCCATTCAATACCATTTCACATAAAACGAGAGTGGGCTCATTCTGTGACATTGCCAGTAGATATAGAAATGGGTATATTATATCTAGCTATATAACGAGGGTTTGTTAACCCTGTGTATAATGATGTGAAATGTTTTTCTTTTTCCCAACCTTACATTTTTTTTAATCACTTTTATTCACAATTAACACAATTGACACAATACACATAAACTCACACATTAACATTCATGTACATACTTTCTGGTGTGTTGCTGTTCAAGAATGAACCTTTATGTATTACATATAAATCGTCTGCTATAAATAGTACTGTTGTTATTTCTTCATTTTCTCGATTAGATTTGATGCTCTCTGACCACCAGGGATTGATTTTTTAATTTTGAACATTTACCATCCAGAACAATGTTTTGTCGAACATCCCATATATCACTGATCTTGATTATATCACTTTCTGCCCAGTTTCTAAAAAATAATAGGTTTTTCTTAAACAATAACTTATGGTTACTAATTAAACCTTGGTTTAAAATTATTTTTTGGAAATATTGTTGTACATTCTTAGTAATGTTTGCCAGTGTACTAGTGCCTCCTCATATATTGATGGCATTTTTAGGGTTAGACTTTTTGTACTACTGCATTTACATAAAAAATAGTTAGTGAAGAATTTCATGTCAACACTTTGTAGTTCAATATTTTCCCAAAATATTCCATGTATCAATTTCACTATGTATACTTCTGTATTTAAGTTTTATTCTGCTAATTTTTATGATTGTGTCTATATCAATCATTGACAACCCCCATTTTGCTCATTCTAAGTAGCATGTTTGTTTTGATACTTTGTTAACTTTGGTTTAAACTTTATTTTATTCAAATTTTGTTTGACAATACATCGAAATCCATGTTTTATAAAACAGAAAAGGAAACAAAAACAAGTGTCGTGACACTTGTGTAAAGGGCCTGTTTCCAGTAATGTTAATTCTCCATAGGAGCCTGCCCCCATATAATTTCTTATCTAGCTCAACTACTGTTTTTTTTCTTTTCCGAAGAATAATTTTACACCTTTCCGACACCCAGATTTCATAATTTCAGTGAAAATGTATTTTTATAAAGTTGTCAATTTCAGCATCAAAGACATAAGTTCGTAAATAAAAGAAGGTTATCTCGAAATTGTAATTCGCAACATAGTATAAATTTCTTTTGATAAATATTTCCAAAACATCGTGTTTATTCATAAAACATAAAAAAAAAAATTCTCGGATGAAAATGCACTTGCAGAGACACAATTATGAAGAAAAATGCCATAAAATTGCAATTTTCTCCCGTTATATAGTTTTGGATGCAAATTTCCATCAGAAAATCGGATAGAGCTTTACTTGTTTCATATGTGTACCAAAAATCAGCTAATTCCATGTGGTGGAACGTTCTCATATCGCCGCCTGAATGTGGTTGTAAATTGAAAGAAAAGGGGAAATGAGTAACAACCTTGTCTGAAACCCTATTATATAGCTTATTATATACAAACTTTTATATTGAATATCAGAGCGGATATTTTCATGACAGTTTTATGATGTGTAACGACTAAATAAACAGTATCGATATAAAGATTTACACTGAGGACACCCTGATACATGAATACTGTTCTATCTCAAGTTGTCCTCTTCTGAATTTTCTGATCGTGTGGCCTTGTACATTTATCCGTATCTTCTTGTCTTTGTCTATACGTTTACGGAATCATTGACTCGACGCTAGCTATTCTTGTCTCACTTTCCTTGTTTTATTGTCCCATCTCCAAAGCGTTGTGGCTCTGTCAGGGTTGGGACCCTGACTTGTCTCACTTTCTTTGTGCCTGCCGACCACGCCACATCGAATAGATAGATTATCCATATGAAATACTTTATTTTGTTCTAAGTAATCAATCAATTCTGCGCTTCTTGGAGGTATTGAATGTGATTTATTATATTGTCTTGTTATTTTGTGTAATTAGTTGTTCGTTATTTATCACACATTTTCGCATAATTGTACCAAACTACTAAGTATTAGCTGTTTACAGCAATCATCGGTGGCTTGCTATTTTGTTACTTTATCGACGCTTCATAAACCAATCGTTATTGTTTCAAGATGGAGGGTAAATGTGTTGGAGAAGGGTGTCAAGTATACTTCAAGAAACGTAGTGGCAATAAGAACAGAAGTGCACGCAATGTAAATAGTCCACAATATAAATGGCTCCTAGATACGCTGGTGCAACAAGGATTGATGTCAGCAAAGGAACAAGCACTTATTTGCCAGAAGTGCTACATGAAGTATCTTCGGAACAAAAATCAGCCTGAACCTGAACCCGAGCAGAACCAGGAAATAGAGGAAGAAGACGACTCCCCGTCCCATATCCTGCCGTTGCTGACCCTTCATGATCTTTTGAATGGATCATCTTCACACAAAAAATGCTGTCTCTGTCTTGTTACCTTTGCAAGAAATGGAACAAAATCATCAGTCTTACCAAAACGTGCAAGACATCACCTGATCTATTCACACAAACTGTGGTGTCCCACCTCATCCCGCGTCTGCTCCATTCACCTTATTGGTAACGACTTAGATCCGTCTACAGAGGTTGTCCTTGATGGTAGAGGTTCCTTGGAATCTCAGTTACCATCAAAATCGTCCGAAATCATTAATGACCTCCTAGAGGTGTCGCACGTCCTTTCACAGAACCAGTCTGCGTTTACAATAAGCTTTTCTTCTCTTGATGACTCGGCATGCATGGCCTGGACAGGTTGGTCCAAAGATCAGTTCCTCGAAATCCACTCGCACTGTTCCCCATATCTTTCATCTGGTATATATACCAAGACTACACACGATGCTCTATTACTGTTCTGGGTAAAACTGAAAACCGACATTTCCTGGAGTCAGTGTTCTTCTCTTTTTGGAATTTCCAAGTCAAGTGTGTCCAAAACTTTCCACTCCATAGTACAGGCATTAGACACATCGATAGTCCCACAATTTCTAGGTCCGGATCACTTGACAAGAGAACAGTTGCTCGGGCACAATACTGTCTTTTCAGAAGCATTTTTTGGAGATAAAGCCACTGCCATATTAGATGGCACCTATATTTATATCCAGAAAAGCTCCGACCACAAGCTCCAGAGAATGTCCTACTGTGGCCAGAAGAAGAGAAACTATCTCAAATTCATGAGCATCGCCTTACCAGATGGCTACATTCTGGACACAGTAGGACCATTCACTGGCAGCGAAAATGATGCTACAATTACAAAAAAAGTCATGGACAAGCTAGTTACTTGGCTACAACCAGACGACAACGTTGTCGTTGACCGAGGTTTTAGAGATGTCCTACCAGTTCTCGAAGCCTCTGGCCTCAATGCTAGCATGCCGTCATACCTGAAACCCGGTCAAAGTCAACATTCTGACGTCCAAGCAAATCTTGACAGAACTATCACCAAATCGAGGTGGATTGTGGAATCCTATCATGGTCGTCTGAAACACTGGACGTTCTTCCGAACGCAATTGGTGTCTAACAGCTTTATCAATGTCATCGAGGCTTTGCTTCGAACCGTCACAGCCTGTCTGAATGGTATTAGAGGACCGATCTACCAGAGATCTCCAGAGAGAGATGCCAAAGATAGGCTAATGGCTGAACGTATGAAGGACCGTTTGACAACACCGAATGGTTTAGCTCAGAGAGTCAAGACAGATCCGGATCTATCTAGACGGGCAAGGTCCGAGTTTGTCAAGATGGATGCATCTTCCGTACTGTTTCCCCGTCTCGATCTTGATTACTTGAGAACCATTACGTGTGGAACGTATCAGATATCTCTGGCTCCTGGTTACATCGCCGAACATTTAAGTGATGACGGAGACTATGAGGTGTGGCTTTACCAGCACTCCCCAGACCTTCTCCGATGTCAAATACATTCTCGACACAAAAGCCAAACGAAATATAACGTTTGGATACGGTTCACCGTTTCACCCGATGTTGAGGCCCCAATAAAGGACTACTACTGCCAGTGCCCAGTTGGAGAGAGAACGATGGGAATGTGTGCGCACATCTCCAGTATCTTGTACTACCTTGGGTATTACAGGACGCTGGAAAACCCTCGACCATTACAACCACAGGTAAAGAAATTCCGACAAAACTTGAAATAGTTTTCCATGCGGCAACGGAGTGCATATGTCGAAAGTATGTTTGGGGCTCGATATGAAAGATCCCCGTTACCATGTGACTAACCAAACTTATAAATATAGGTATTATACAATCGCCCGTAGCTATGAACACTCCCGTAAATGCGAAAACCAACCAAAATCATAAGGAACACGTTTTGTTTGTTGTTCTGTCTATTTGTCAGCCAATGTCTTCAACCACGGGGACTTGTGAAGTAGCCATCTTGGATTTTTTTTATGAAAAAGTGTTTCTCTCACTTTTTTTCATATCTGTGTACATATTCTCAACATACCGAGCAAATACTCTCGTTTTTTTGTTAATTATCTAAAGAAAGTCGAAAATCGGCAATTCAACCATAGGCTAATTCAACCCAACATTTGAAAATGTTCCACCACTTACATTTTGATGATTTTTCCTCTCATCAATAGCATATTACGTACTGTTTAATAGGATAAAAATTGGTTTGCATCCAACGCCCATAAAAGGGTGTATTCTCTAAAAAACACAGTTTTTGTGTCTGAAATGTTATATTCGAAAATGGCATTTTTGAGATTGTTTCTTCCATAAAACAGCCAAAAGGCGCGATGGAAACATGATTTTTTGTCACAATCATGCCATGAATGTATTCTTTACGGTGACCATCATTTGATTAGATTTTCATTAATATTTTACATAACATGCACATTTTATCAACACTTAGACAGCTTATGAAAGGTACAACTTTGAGAAGCCATAAAAAACAAACCAAGTGACCTAAATCTTTATAGATTTGTGACCACAACGGCATGGGCAATGCACCACCAACAGGAAATTTGAATCAGAGAAGGGGCCGTTCTGGAAACCGGCCCTTTGTTAACTTTGCTGTTCCATATATATTCATATATCAAATTATTTATTTGTCTTATGAATGTGTCTCCTATGGTATTTTGATTTAGTTCATATGTACATAATAAGCATATAAGTGAAGCGAGAGACCTCTTTTTTCCATTTAATGATAATGTTTTCTATTTTACGTATTTTATCATCCCATATTTTGTTCTTGTCTGTAATATATCTAGTGCTTTAACATAACCTTTCGTCCAAGTTATAGCTCTAAAGTTTGAAGGCCTCTATGCGACCTATATATGCCCTTTAGACTTTTTAACATTAATTTTTGCACCTGAAGCTTTCTCGTATTTGTTCAGTACTTCAAATGTTATTTGTTTTGAGTATTCGTTTCCTATAAATAATTTCGGATCGTCAACAAACATGCTTATTTTTGCTTGACATTTCATTTTATTGACCTCTGGTACATTGATACCTTAAACATGTGTATCGCTTCTTACCGTGCATGCATATGATAGGTTCCGCTTGCAAACTGTAGAGCATCGGTGGTGAAGGGCATTCCCGTTTAACTGATCTACTGATAGTGAAGAATTTTGATAAATGACCGTTAAAGAGCATACAGCATTGAGACTTTTAATACGTCATATTTATCCATCTGATCATATTTCCCCCAAAATTAAATTTTCTTAAACTTTTTTCCAACCATCCCCATTCTACTCTGTCAAACGCTTTTGGTTGGTCTAAAAAGATTATTGCCCCATCTTTGTTTTCGGAATCTACATATTCCATTATACCTGATAGCAACCTACCGACTC